GATATAGACATAGTGCAGCGAATTAAAATTCAGCGGCTCCGCTGGCTTGGCCATGTCGTTCGGATGGACAGAAACGCTCCTGCTCTGAAAATATTCAACGCGGGCCGCGATGCTGGGAACAGAGGAAGAGGAAGGCCTCCTCTGCGTTGGAAAGACCAGGTGGAGAAGGACTTGGCTTCACTTGGCATTTTCAATTGGCGTCAGTTAGCACAGAAGAGATATGACTGGCGTGCTGTTTTGGACTCGGCCAAAATCGCTTAGGCGGTTACAGCGCCAAATAAGAAGAAGAAGAGTTTATGTAAGCTTCTACAGACAGTCTTTGCTTCGAATTTGACCAATCCGTAAGTACAAAATTTTAAACACCGATCAAAATATTGCTGGTAGAATTCCAGTTGATATGCGACATTAGTCGTGTGGATAATCCCAATCTATGCTACTTTAAAGGAAGAATATCCCTTATTTATAAAGTGACACTTAAATTTCTACCAATACTCGCCACCTCTGTTCCATTGGAAAGGCAATATCTTCAAAAAGTTGACCGTAATTACCAAATATCGATTTAAGACATTTTTAGAATTTTTAAATTTTTCAAAAATATACATTTTTTAAAACCCTCACAACCAAAATTTTCGTTCTGTATAGCTGGAACAATTTTCAATATTTTTAAAAATCCTATAGTCTGCTTGTTTTTTTACCTAGCATTGAATTTCAATAAATTACATATTATTCTAAAGACCACTAGTAAATCATGATATTTTTGGCGTATTCTGACACTTATATTTATGTTTAAAATATATGAGTTAAACGCAGAGTTTTTATTCAAAAGTCGACTTTCTTTCGTCGATCGGTCGACTTTCAAAGTCGACTGTACAGGGTCGATCGAAAATTTATGACACTTATATTTATATATAAAATATATGAGTTAAACGCACAGTTTTTATTAAAAAGTCGACTTTCCTTCGTCGATCGGTCGACTTTCAAAGCCGACTGTACAGAGTCGATCGAAAGTCGAAAGTCGACTTTCTAGTAAAGTCGAACAACCCTACGTGGGACTGCCACCTAACCTAACCTATATGCAGAGTTGCGAAACATTGTAACCACATACATTGCATATTTTAAATATGCAACATAACATTGAATAATCTTTCGTAATTTTCCATTTTCACGACACCAATCGCAACTAAAACAAAACGAAGCATCAAGTTTGTTTTATATGCGCTGATTACTTATTATGCGTTTCGATAACTTTTCGGATGCGCTTTGGAAAAGTATACATTGTCGACATTTCGTAGTTCGACGTTATGAAACATAATTCTTTGTATGTTTTGGAAGTCAGCCGTTTTTCGCAATCTACATCGATATGTATCGTCCATTTTTTCAAAACAAATTCGTTAATACTTTTTTGTTGGCAGAAAAAAATATTTTTTGGTTATGTTTTCCTAGCGTCATTATTTTACATGTTAATACAAAAAAGTGTGAATTTTTTCACTTTTCGACAGCTAATTGCCCTGAAACCATTATTTTAATGAAAATAATACTCTAAAAGTAGGGCCAAGCATTACGGTTACTGAAAAGTTAACAATAATGAACTTTTAGTCAAAAACTATAGACTCGTGCTACTTTTAAATAAAAAAGAGAAATAAATTTTAAATGTTACAACGCCTCCTAGTTGCTTAGGTTCATTAAATATGAAGACAGCATCATTTCTAATTCAAAGTCACTACACCTCTGATAAGCTTTGGTTGAACTTTAATAAAGGTGTGCTAATGAAAATAAGAAGGCATTTATAGCACAGGCCAACCAAATTTAAACAATGTTATGTTGACTAAAATATTGCAGGCGATTCTTATAAAATTTTCCCGTAGAATCCGAATCTGATCCTAAAGATATTAGAGTGGCTAGTTTTCGAGTAACTTAGGTTTAAAGGTGCCGAAAAACGCGTTTTTGGACATTTTTAAGC